AAAATTTGAATTTTCATGTATTATTTTACGGTATTAAACATTGAAATACGTATTGAGAAAAGGACAGAAGAAAACGCTATCTTTTCAATATACTTTTGAATGAGAGTGATAAGTAATAATTGCCTTATCTAATTTCTTATCATGGTATTAATGCCAAGTTTGTAATGTATACATATTATCAGCATATGTATACACAGTAATCATGAAAAGATAGCGTTTTCTTCTGTCCTTTTCTCAATACATATTTCAATGTTTAATACCGTAAAATAATACATGAAAATTCAAATTTTCACAAACTTCAAAACACTACAGACTATTTACTACTCAATATTAATAAGATATTTTTTTACTAAAATTTTTCTTAAATTCTACTTTACTAAATAGCTATCTTAGATTTTTTTTTTACATTTTATTTAAAATTTAAAAATAAATAATATTATTAATAAAATGTAAAAAAATTAATTATTGAGATATAGCTATGGATCTAACGTATAACTATTATTTAAAAAAAAATCAACTAAAAATATTAATTGAATAAAAAGTTATTTAAGTTGTCAGTGAGTGGTGGGCCACCCTGTAAAGTAAAAAAATTACTGAGTAATACCTAGTAAATATTACCAACGTTTATTGTATTGGATATTTATTATTATATATGGATTTGATATATAAGAATAACTATTTCATATGATTACAATAATTATAAGTAAAGAGTATTTTTGTATGTAGTAGTAAACAAAATACGTTTATTTGCTTTAAGGAGTCGTTAAATTTTTTTAATGATAAAACTTGTATAATAAGCAGAAAACAGTAATATTACATTATATCAGCTATAACAAAGTCGCTGTTAGTTATATAAAATTTTTAATAATTACAATTTGTTTTAGAAAATTAAATTGTATACGATTTTTATATAAAACATTTAATCAAATCTTTAAGCGCTCGTCAGATATAACAAAATGTCTACAAATATGACAAAATTGCCAAATTGATGAAAATTTGCATATTTTGTCATTTTTCTGGAAAACTAATAGGTATACGAGAAAAAATGTGTAAAACTAATATTGTACAAAATATTTGGACCTATAATTTATATTCTTTGTTTATTTATGAGTTTGAAAAAAAACGGAAATCTACTCTAATTGGCCAATTTTCAATCTCAAGTCGACACGGGTTAATCTTGTCTCATTGACTTGAAAGTTTTTATGGTTTCTTTATAATTCCTGTATACACAACTTTGGGGTGTTTGATTTAAAATTGTCCAAAGTCTGAAAATAAGGATAGCTGGAATAATTCAGAATCAGTCGGACTGTCTGATAAAGAATAATTTGTATATAAAGTTTTTAATTAAAATTTTAATAAATCATTCATTTGGCACAATTGTCGAAAAATATCCGCTTGTATGTACAATACTAAAAAATATTGTTATTTTTCACTAGTCCATATTTCTATACATATAATTATTTGAAATAATCCATCCAATTCCATTTTTTGTAGTAGTTGTAATAAAATTAGTTTTATTTAAGATCAAAAAACACTCATATCGATAAATCTCACAATACATCAAAACATGTCGTAAAGGGTGGCAACTATGAAATGATGACTGATTAATTTAAAACACATTGTTAGCAGCTATTTCGATAATAATTTGTTTTTGTGCTTATGATATTCCGATAATAAGGGAGATAACCTATTAATTTATTTGTGCTTTTAATATCTCATTACTATTAGAGAAAAAAAGGTAATTTGAATTTTTATTTTGTAGCTTATAAAATAAAAATAGAATATGTGAGTTATCTCACCTATATTGACATAAGTGGAAATAAAATAAAAACTTTGAGGGGCTAATAATATATTTTTAAACTTTCCTACACTCAAATATATATTTATATAACTAATTTATATAATATACTAAAACAATTTGGGGAACTAATACCCATCACTTCATCCATTTACACCAGACGAAGGTTAATATTGGTCTTAATTGGGTGATATAATTAAAATTTACACTATTAAAACATTGAAGTTAAATCAAGGTGTTTTTTTTTAATTCAGTAAAATTTTTCATAAATAGGTGACGATGAGGAAAGTGAGTATATTTAGCTACTAGATACAATTATTATTAAATATTATAAGATTTCTTTTAATATAACATAATTTACACTATTTTTACAAGAAATATCAATATATTAAAATAATAAAAAATACATGAAGTATTTCGCTAACAATAACATAGACGGAAAAAGAATACACATATTTGGGTAGATATAATATTTAATGATTTTATTTTACATAATTTTCTAAAATTTTGGATAACTAAGAATCACTAAAATCCCAGAAATTTATGTCCAACGAAAGTCTTTTGACATTGACCATTGTCGAGCGACATTATTAAAAACAAGACTATTAAAACGCTAAAGTTAAATAAATTTGTTTTATTGATCCAGTTATATTTTTTTTATAAATAGGTAAAGAAAAAAAGAAAAGTGAGTACAATTAGTTCCTAGCCATAATTTTTATTAAATATAATAAAATTTCTTTTAATAAAACATAATTTACACTTTTTTCACAAGTTATAATATCAATATATTAAAATAATAAATAATCTCACCCACAATTACATAGACGAAAATTGAATAAAAACATTTATATTTTTTACATTTTTTAAATACACTAAGATACGTTTATATATATAATTCATACAATTTTCCCATCTTTTGGGTAACTAGGATCCACCAGCTACCATTTATGTCCGACAAAGGTCTCTTAACATTGACCATTGTCGGGTGATGTAGTTAAAAACAAAACTATTAAAACATTGAAGTTAAATTAATTTCTTTTATTGATTCAGTAATATGTTTTTTATAAATAGAACGCCCAGAAGATTGTGAGTATATTTTTTTAAATATCTCAACATACAAATTATTTTACTCGATTAAGATGATGTTTCGACTTATATACATATAATAGCTTTTATTAGATAGTATTATTATAGCTCAATAATTATCTTTTATTACTATAAATATTTTTTATAATAACAGTAAAAAAATTTTTTAGAGTATATGGAAATCGATGTAAAACTGATAATTTATTAAAAATATAATATAAATTTAAACTTGATTAAAATTGCCTCAGCTAAAGACGGCATAAATTTTTTTTTTAAATCTTTATAAGTTAATAAATGAGTAAATAAATAATAATAATAAATAAATAAATAAAAATGAATAATATATTGTACATCATCCAAAATTTTTTTATATTTGTTATTAGTTAATGGCACTATTAAAAATAATAATCGAATTTCGATACACTTTTTAACGCATGAGATGATATTGATATATAGTAATAAAAATATTATATAATTGTACGAACTTTGATACGTTATGTTAAAATTACACTATGCGTGTGTACAATTAATGTATGCTAGAAATATTTTATTGACGCAAAGAAATTTTTGGATTATTTCTTATAGGTTGCGATTCCTGCGACGTAAATAAAGGAGCAATAATACCCAACAAAGTTGATTACGAAAAAAAGTACGGTGAAGGTCGTACAGGAAATCTATGTTTCAAACACAAATCATGCAAACAATGCGCTAAAAAAATGTTATATAGGAATAAGCAATGTTGGATTTGTTTTAACAAATATATGGGTACATATTGGGGAGTAAGTAATTTGTATTTACGATTATAAATCCACTCCCATAAAATATAAAGGTACATATAATGTTTTGATTAATTAATTTTGCCAGAATTTCGGAATGAACGTTACATCATTATTATTATAATGTACAAACAACGACTTATTGCAATTTATAATTACGCTCATTCTTGCTGTTTTTTTATACCTAATAGAAGCTTACCTTAGATATTTTTTTTAGCTTCGATGCAAAACTAAGAAGGTATTAATTTTACTGCGATGTGTTTTTTTGTGTGTGTCAATTTACAACTTATTTTTAGCTCTCACTGGTCTGATTTTGATAAACAATGTATCAAATTACATTAGGTATTTACTTAGTATTTAGTATATATTTTTTGAAAATCTGACCATTGTGTGTGCGTGTTAAATTAAGGCTTATGTAATATACTTTAATATAAAAAAAAATTTTGAACTTCAGATTACCTTCATAATGAAAATGACCACCATATTCAAAAATATATTATTTTTGTGTTAAAATTTAGGTTATGTATTTTATTTTATTTTAAAATACCTTAAAAGGGGACTACACTGATATTCATAAATATTATATAAATCGAATTGATATAGCATAGGAAGTTTAACTTATTTAAAAACCTTTTTAAAAATTACTGAGAAATGATTACTATGATTTCTATTTAAATAACATAATATGATAAAAATGCAAAAAAAAAAAAAATTGTGATTTTGACGAACTATTATGATTTTCTCATAAATTTTCTGTAAATAGTAATTATGATTTTCTGACTGCATACTAATATTAACAATACTATTTTTTTAATTTTCTATTTAATGGTGTAGTTTTCAAATTTGAAAGTTGAGATGAAAAAAAAATAAATGGTAAAATGTTCACCTTATTTTTTATTATAAATTTTTTTTAAAAATCAACTTTAAAGGAACAAAAAAATAATTAAAAAAACTGATAATTTGCATAAATTTTGTAGTTGAAACCTATTATCATATTAAACCTAATTCGAAAATAAAAAAAACGTTAGAAATGAATAATTTTAATTGTCTATAAAAATTGGGGAAATATGGACTAAGTAACTGTTTAATTGATTAAGTGTACATTTTTTAGGGTAATATCATTAATTAGATAATAGTTGTGATCATTTGATGTATTGTTAAAAATTTGGTCAAGTGAGAGCCATAAAAAAAAATCACTTTATTTTAGAGAGGAGACTTATCTCATAACGTATAGAATGTAAGAAATAAGTAAGGAAACGGTTTTCTATTGTTCTAATTGTATGTTACAACTAACAAGTTTTCCCAATTACTGAATACTCTATATAACTCTTAACAAAATAATGATTTGGATTCTTGAAATTAACCCGAAGAAATATATTAAAATAGCTGAATTTTCCTTAAGTTCATAGAAAATGTTTTATAACGATTTTAATCACTGTTAGATTTCAATATCTAGTACATTTAACAACGGCTATAGAAGATCTTATAAATCCATTTGCTTAAAAACCTAATTTATATATTCGTTAGCTCAACATTTTCATTTGTCTCATCTTGTCCATCTTAAATACAAGTCTTATCTTGACTTTTAATTATACTCTTTACTTATAATAATGAGTTTGACAATGTTCAAAATAAATACTTAAAAAAATATGCTAACTTATAAAAATTTCTTTAGCTAAAAATATTGCACTTAAATTATTCAGAAATATTTTAGTTTGCATTATTAAATACATTTTTTTCCTCGAACATTTTGGCTAAATAATATTAAACACAGGTGATTCTATTATCATTGACCACTTAATTAACGGAAAAATAATAATAACGGCTTTATTGTTTATTTTAGTTACATAAGTTTCTCAATTTATCAGTAATAAAGTATTTTTTATGTTCATCCATTATACCTTATAAGGGTATCAACTTTAATTTTTCCAGTGGGATCAAATAAATTTAACTAGCTTATTTATTGGAAAATCAACTAATTAATAAATTGACTGTTCGATAGCAAATTTTGTATCAGTATTTCAGAAGTTCTTATTAATTTAAAGTAATGACTGGAGGTGGATGTTTACTTTCATTAATTGAAAACATATCGAAGTCAGTCGTCATTCACTTTACTTGGAATACTAGTCAACATCTTTTGAAATTTGTCAGGATATAATTACACATAATATTTTTATATGTATATTAGGGTGGTCCTTATTTTTCAACTTCATAAATTCAGAGTCATGGGCTCAAAATTTCGTTAGGTTTACTAAAAAAATGAAACTGATAAAATTTGAGTGCAATAAGTCAACCCCTTCACGTGCCTCAAAGGGGTTGAAGTTCTTCAAAAATGGGGTGGATTTTCTTTTTTTGAGTGTACGCTCTTTATTTTTGAAGTTTCGACAAAAACACGAAGAACAATTTTTATAGAACTCAATTTGAACAAAATATAAGGTAATATATTATTTTTTTGTAAGATTAATATTTTTTCGTAAAAATAAGAAAAATCAGTTTCATTTAATTTTTTAAAAAAAATTACAGTATTCAGTTATACTTTTCCAGTGTCTTAAATTTTAATTGTACGCAGAAATTGTACAGAAGTAATATTAATCACCGTGATATCTTCTATAAAAAAAGTTCTTTGAGTTTTTTTCGAATTATGAATCCTTTCCAAATAAAAATTTAAAACAACTACGAAAG